CGGCTCGCAGCGGAGCGCCGCCCGCCGCCGCCGCTCCTTCGTCCCGGACTTGCCGGTCAGCGCCGTTCTCGGCGATCTGTCGCGGGATGCGCGCAGGAGCCCGTTGTTGAAAGAGTCCGCCCGTTAGTAACGCAAAGCGAGCTGCGGAGGATTCGGTTCAGGTGCGGTACTGTGAGCTGCCAGGCAGGCGTCGGTAAAGCCAGCTCAGTTTAGATGCCTCATCGCTCGTAAACGCTACAAACGGCCGTGCAGTGAAAACTTCTGGCGTTGTTAATCTCGTTTGAGAGCAAGCTACTAGTACTGCGTACGATGAACGGGAAGTAAAGGCAAAATATTATGAAGAGTTTCCTTTAAATAAAGGGGCTATCAAACAAAAGAATACATCCTTAATCTGGTACGCGTTATATTTTGATACTACAACACGCAGTACGTGTAACTGAGAGATCGCTTTCTCTATGTTGCTGCGGTATTTAGCTCATTATTTTAGTTATCAGTTGTCTTCCTGTGTTGAACTATAGCCTGAAAAAATTTTGTGTGCCATTCAAAAGCGTTGATCGTAATAATTTCGAAACTTCTGTCTACGCTGTGAAAGCGTTACTCTTGCCACCTTAAATGTTTCCTGTATATTTCTATGAACCATCTGATCCTCTATCTGAGCTGCTAATTTATTGTACGAGTGTCTCAGCGTTTGTTTATGCAGCGTTCCCTGCAGTTATATAATACACAGCTGACATTTTGTCTGGAGTTGCCCAAAGAGGTTGCCATATTTGATTTAGTACATAGTTATTTAAAGAATGGGCGCGTTGGTTGGTTGGTTTGTTTGTTTGTTTTAACAACTTTGGAAGAGCAGCACATTTCTTAAAAACAAAAAAAAGTTCTAGGGAATAAAGCTTATGTAACTAATTTTTAAATAGTTTTAACAGGCCAATTTTTCTATTTCCTACAGCTCCAAATGACCACTTACTATACAGCAACCGGTCCCAGATTAACTCTACTCTGAAAGCTTGTGAAGACGCGTTGCATGATGCAGAAACAGCATGCAGACTCCAGCCGTACTGGTTGAAAGTAAGTTTTGACTAGAGTTGTACTTTACTTTAAAACCTTTGTGCTGCACCGGTTACAAAGCCATTAGGTTGTTCAAGGAGAACTGAATGAGAGATGCTTTAAGTCTTGTAACTGACGTGACTCCTGTGACTTACAGACCTTCAACTATGATATCCTGGTGCTTTCTGGTGTGAGGGAAGAGAGCGATAAGCAACACAGGCCCTTCCTGGAGGATGAGCTACTAAACACTATTGTCTTTGACCTGAAGGAATCTCAAGTTCATGCATGGTCTCTTAAAAACTGAGTGCTGTGCTTACATTTTGCTGTAAGCTATAATAGATATATTTCTATAATCACTAGTTTAGGAGATTTATGGAGGGGAAGTAGATTTTTCCAAGATAGAGTATGGGATTCCTCAAGCTTCAACTGTGTCAGTGATCAGCGGGGCTCAGATGCTGGGAGAATTATACTTACTGGAGTTAGGGAATATCCTGTTCCTTCCTGTAAGAGCTTGTGTATTTGAAGAATTTTCAGGACCATTGCAGTTAAAAATCCAGACACTGGTGGTATCAAGGTATAAGAGACTGTTGGAGTGAATACTGTCTGCCTAACTTTCTCTTCTCTGGAAAGATCTTCTGTAATTTCATCTTGCTTTAATTGAATATTCTCACAGCAAAAGGAACAAAAGCTGCAATTGTGGATATATTTCATTTCAGGGTCACTTAAGGAAAGGACAAGCATTAGCTAATCTGGGGAAAACGGAAGAGGCTTTAAGAGAGTTTCTGTTCTGCCTTGCTCTAGATACTGGGAACAAGACAGCCCAATCTGAGGCTCAAAAGGTGAGTTCCCTAAATCGAGATCTGCTTAATCGTTTTCAGGGGCACATCAGAGAAGAGGATAAGAATTGCCTCTCTCTCTTTCTCTCACCCCTCTCTCTTCAATGGATTGCTGCAAAGGGCAGGCTGGGGATATGTATCGAGAGCGTTGTTCAAATTTTTGTCGCATCCATTGCTTTATTTGAAGGTAATGGAGGTGGCAAGAAAACATTATTAAGCAGACGCTGTGTGGAAACAGTTACTCATGGTGTTAGCATCAGCAAAATTGAAATAAAATGGAGTTGTTAATAATCACCACCCACAGACTATTGTGATTCCCTATAATCAAATTTCTAATCTGTTTCCTAGCTTGGCAATGTATTACCAATTACTGAGTGCAAAAGAGGGGGAGTTGCTATTTAACATTTTATCAGGCCATTGACTGGTAGAACGCAAGACGCAGCACCCTTCCAGCTCCACTTGGGAGCAGCAGCTCTCTTCCTAGAGCCCTCGTGCGCTGCTCCAAGTATAAGCATGTGAAGGGGCCAGGAAAGGAACCAGTCAGCAAAAGAAGAGATCTGCTTTAAAATAGTTTCAAAGGTTGACAATAGTTAATGCTAAATAAGCAATGTAACGGATCTGCAGTAAGCCTTTTTCGAGTAGCAGCCTAAGTTACAGTTTGTGGAATCTTTCACCTTTCCCTTTAAAGGGGTTTTGTGAAAACTGTTAATTCTGTTTTGTACACCTCTCAAGAATTAATTATGGCTTCCTTTCCTGGAACGAATTTTTGGTTTTTTACCTTTGACTCTTTTTTGTTTTGTTGCTTATCATACGCTTTTATTAGCATCCCAGCAAGGACAGCTTAATAGTTATTATGCTTTACCTTCATCTTATTGAATTCTGTTTTATGGCAGTGCATTCATGTTTTTGTCTGTGGCTGGCGGGATGGGAAATTGTGGGCTTCTGAATGCCATAACGTGACAAGCTTTCTAAAAGCACAGTAGAATTCTTACGGTAAAGCTCTGTTCACGCAGGTAGCCGAGAAAGTATGATCTGGATAGCTGTGCTGCAATCAGATTTTTATCACGTTTTGTATGTGGTTGAGATTTCCATGTTCTGTGGGTTTTTCTCTCATTGTTCTCTCAGGGTTTTTTTGGTTGGGGTTTTTTTTTTCCAGCATGTTCTATACAGTCTTTCACTGTTGTTGTATCACGACTTGTTCTCGTAGTCATGCAGGGAGACTTCCTGTGTGCTAGAGCAAGAAAAGCAAGAGCAAACAGATATGTTTCTAAATTCAGACTCCAAACAGCCTTATCCAAGACAGCTAATTTCTGAGCAGTGCGGTTCTGAGGAAAACTATGCTGCTTGCAACTGAAAGAATTGCTTGCGCACTCATCAGACACAGAGTTCACCCATGATGTAACATTCTACTGGGTCATTTCCAAGCCTGTTTGCATAACAGTGACATATTATTTTTTACAAATTCTTCAGGTGCAGCTATGATGTTCTGTTTGTGTTACCTGTCCGTCCGCATTAGTTTTGACATAAGAGTATGATCCTGTGAAATTCTTTTGCCTATAAAAAGACATCTTAGCTTTCATGTGGCTTCCTCATGTATTGGCAGGATCACCCCAGTAGTATGCTGAAATTAGTTTTTAAAGCATGTGAATTTTCCATTCAGCCCTTCTTGTTTTTTTCCTCTTAACTAATCATCTGATGAGCTGCACTGTAGTACAAGTGGCTACAAATTGCCAGTTGATACTAATTCACTTATTTTCTGATAGCAAATGAAGACAATTTCTGTTCTACTGCCTGTTTTTTTTTTTTGTATTGTCACATAGGTGAATTAAAATAGTTACAATTTACAGTGTCAGAGACGCTTTATTTCTTTGAACATGGATTCAACCTATGAAATGAGTGCTTTCTGTATTAATTAACTCCAGTGAAAGTTTCTGATGTGCAGCAAAAATGTATTTGAGAAAGATGATGTTGATTCCTGTTGAGCTCTAAGCTGTAGAACAAGAGGACAAAGGCATGTGTGTGCCGCTTATCATAGAGAATGGTTAACAGCATACCAGCTTGTTTAACTCCAAAAAAAGTCTCTTCTCTTTGTTAAGCCTATACTGCAGCGATTTTTGTATTTCTTTTTGCTTTCACCCTACAACAAAGAGCACTTTAAATGGTTTTAAAATATCAAGGCTGCTTCTTTCAGCTATTCCCTTACTTGTTTTTTTGCTTAGAGGATCCAAGGAAAAAAAACTAAGCAGTGAAGTATTCTGTTTTATATCACAGCTTCTACTTAGTTTATTTTCACTCATCCCGGGAAATGCTCAGGAACACTTACCTGATATCCTGCAGCTGTTGTCACATCACTCTAGATTAAAGGGGAATCTCCTAAATTCAGTGGGATCTGGAGGCACCAGCCATAACCTACAAAGGTTGCTCAAGGTAAAGAAATTTTATGTGTGGTTTTTAATTTTGCTGTGTGTTTTATGTTCACATTGGAAGTCTTCTCTCCTTTTCATCTCTGGGAGACCAGATGATGCATTTCCTAAGATTTTTTTTTCTGAGTTTCAGAATATACATAACAAAATGTGACTTACTGGATTGACTTTAAATGACTTCATCCGTTTGTTAAATACAAGCCTTATGTTGTTGTTGTTCTCAATTCTGACAAAAAGTTGAGAAGGTACTGTCCCTGTAGCTGTCTTTAGCTCTTCAAAGTAACAGGTAGTAAAAAAGAGCCTCTGAAGTGAAGCAAGTCATTTGAGGGACACTTCTTTCTCCTTTCTACATACTACATGTCACCACAGGTCCTGATCAGTCTGCAATATCTACTTTCAGGTTCATCTGGGGAGTTGATGTGACAAGCTGATAGGTGATATTCTGTGAAATGGCTGTTAATTGGTTGTAGCCAGAGCAGGATAGAGAATGATCATTTATCCCTTACAAAAATCAGTCTTGCTGAAGGAAGCTCTGTGTACTTTCTCTTTTATACGTTTTGTGTGTTTATGCTGTTTCCTTAGAATAAAACTCATGTTGCTCTGGTTGCCTTGATATGATGATTGATGCCATCCTTATGATATAAACAATATATATTTTTCCGTAGGCTAAGTGATAACAATGTTTCGTCCTGCAATTTAGTCAAATTTCTGCATGAATCAGGTTTCATGACCAACCCATAAAGCCGCACATAAAGGCTGAAAAAAATCAGTGCCACGCAGGAGGAGGGTTAGTTTGAAAATATTTTCAATTAAAATCAGACCCTGATGCAGCAACTCTCAAACCGCTGTGTCTTGACCTACAAAGTCCTTCCTGATGATCCATAATATTAAGGCTTGTTACAGGTTTTGGGCTTTTTTCCTTTACAAAGCTGTTTGAAGGCTGATGTTTTAATGTTGGTTCTCTCTTTGCACAGATAAATGTGGAACAGAAAAAAGGTTTTCCTGTCCAAGAGAAACAAAATGTTACTACTTCTGGCAGTCTGAGGAAATCTATACAGATTACAGAAAGTAAAAAGGACTGCTCGGGGGAGGAGGACAAACTCGCCTCCATATCAGAGTCTGCCTTTCTCATTTCTGAGAAGTGCAGCCTTCTGAAAAGGAAGTGCTGCTCTGAGGAGATGAGGAGCGCTGAGGTGCCCTGCAAGCTCGTGAAGAAAGGTATGTTTAGTTAAGCACAGGATGAGTTCCACGACGCACAATCAGTGGAATTTTTTTCTTACTTAGAGGAAGAGGCTTCAAATTAGACTTTAGTTTTCATATCTTATCTAGTCAGGGTACGATGTTGAACTTGGGATGCTGCACCTTCCTTGTAAAATTAATTGTTAGTCTGAAAAAGGGCTAAGAAGGCTGGGTCAAGTGCTTGTTTATCAGAAGACCTCTGACTCTTGTAAGAAACATTAATGCTGTGCGTGCTTTTGGCACTTTCTGGTTTAAGTAAAATATATATGTTATGCTTACAAGCATGAATTCTCTTTGCTTATGACATCTCAGATCCGGCCTTGTTCTTGTGCTGTGGGATGCATTTGCAGTGGCATGACAGAAGAATTTGTCCCATTGTAGATTTCCAATGCTAAAAAATGTTTTGATGTTAATTGTTAATGGAAGGCTAAATTCAATCTTCTGTTAGTGGGTATAATGTCACAAAAATTAAGGAGAGGTATGCTAATTTGTGCCAAAGCTGAATTTGATGCTTTGCCTAGAAATTACTCTAATGAGGCTAATGGTTCAGTACGTGCAAGTAAATACATGTTTAAATACTGGACACTGTTTCTGGATACACAGGAAAAAATTGTCCCTGAAATTCTGCATTGTTTACGTAGTTCTGTCAAATCATATATTGTAATATGCTTTTTTTTATCATTATTGATAGATTCAGTTGAGATCAAGGGAAGTAGTGCTGGGCACCATATTCCATTTGAATCTGTGGATCCATCAGATTTGGACTGCTCCCTGTGTATGAGGTATCCATTGTTCTCTCACGCGTGTCTAGTTTTTAAGCTTTATCCCTTTCCCTCTTATGATCTAGAGATTTCCTAGCATACTTTAACTTATTCTTCCTCTGACTTGAAATCTGCTTTTATTACAATTATTATTGCATTAACAAATTTCTAGGTGTTTGGTTCTGAACACTGTTGATGAATAGGAACTGTTTGATTTGGCCAAGACTAGTGATTGGGAAAAGACAGATAAGGTTATGTGAGAGTTAAGCACGTGAGTGAACATGTCTGAAAGATTTTCCCTCACCAGTTACACGCGCACATAGTGCACAAGTCCACAATTTGTCCTTTGGAATTAGTAGAGCCATATATGACATTTTATAACACATAAAATAGCAAAGGGAGCGTGTTCTCTGAATAGTCCAAGTTTGCATGTAAAATATTATGTTGCTGCTATTGCAGTAGGAGGATCTTGCAAGCAAAGAGCATGTTTTTTCTCTAGCACTTACATGTGATGCACTGAATTCCTGCTTTAGTTAACTAAGGCCTCCATAACATTTGCTTGATTATCTCTTCTGTCAGTTAAGTAACAGATTTATTCTCAAGGACAGCAATGACTTAATACAAACAGAATTGTTAACTTTCTCTATTTCACTACTTTTTTTTGTAGAAACATTTTTAACTTTGACAAATATACGTGTGGGTTTTTGTTTCTAACTTTTAGAAAGAAATATCTGTGAGGGTGACTGAGCATTGGAACAGGTTGCCCAGAGAGGTAGTGGAGTCTCCTTCCCTGGAGATATTCAAAACCCGTCTGGATGTGATCCTGGGAAACATGCTCTAGGTGACCCTGCTTGAGCAGGGAGGTTGGACTAGATGATCTCCAGAGGTCCCTGCCAACCTAAACGGTTCTGTGATTCTGTGAATATTGGGAAGGTGTTCACAGCACTCTTACTTCTGCAATGAGTTTTGTTTCGGCTGTCTTTTTAATTACCCATACTTATAAACAAAGTATGTTGGGGCTAGTCTTGCACTGTATTTTAGATTCTGCAATAGCAGATGGCCTCTTCATGGAATTCATTTATTTATTTTTTAAAAGGCCTGAAAAAATGTGGATTTCCTTTTGTTTTGTTGTTTAAATGCTTGGGGGGGTTGGGGGGCAGGGAGAACTCAATTTATTTCAAACAAACAGAAATCTTTGGGGCAACAACTGCTGTGTTGTTTAACTCACTAATGCTTGGAATAAATCAGGTCTGCCCCCTCTCCCTCTGTCCACCTACAGCTGAAACATGCTCCAAAAGTTTACACAGCTGTCAAAACACTTGATGCTACTAAGAGCAAAACGTTCTTCTAACGCGAAGCCACACGATTGGTCTTAGCTGGTTTTAATGAGTCTGCATGTTTATGATCGTTGTGTCCAAAATGCATTTTTCAGATGTTTTTAATAAAATTAATTAACCCTATTTCCTCATCCTCTATATTACATCAGAAGCAGACGGACTGCAATACGTTCTTAAAGGAATTAGCTTAAGGATTTCTGGTTCCCTGAGAGCATAGGGGATGCTAGCACCAATTCAGTATTTGCAGTCACAAATACAGGCTTTACATCCAGAGGTGTGTAAACTTTAACTTCATTACAACAATGAAGGTTTGCACTAAGGGAAGCTGTCACGAGACCTTTTTTCACTGTTAACATTAATACAGATTGATCATAATTATTTCCTGCCATGTTCTGAAGAAGTATTTTAGGGATTTGGGTCCTAAGATACCTTGGACTAATTACCTAGTAACCTACTGACCTGTTCACTATTAACTGCAGGAGCTGTTATTAACCTGTTTGTCAGCTGGTGTGGCAAAGTGTTATTGATCTATGTTTCTGCAGCAAGCAGAAAATAGAAACCAATGGTAAAACAACACATTGGTGAGAAATAAGGGAGCGTTACTCAGCAGGAGTGAATGTTTGGCTTCTACCACTATAATTGCTTAAAATGCTGTCACAAGAAATCTTCCTACGTACTATTTCTTTCTCCAAGTCATGAGGCTCAGTCCAGGCCCCAATAGAGTGCTGTGCTGGCCTCAGTGAGAGCTAGACTAGACCAGGATCATGCACTCTAACAGGAATTTTTTGCCTTAATGCTAACGTTTCAGACCAAGTAAGTCACCGCTGAATAACTACGTATGCAAAAAAAATGCTTACTGAAAGATATTTTAGAAGTTGGTATTTTGCATAGTTCAAAGCTATAAGTAGTCCTTATGCTGTGAAGTTTCTGTTCTCTAAACAATTACCAAAGAAGAGTTCTCAATTATATGGTCACGTCGCAGTGAGATAGGTGTAGCATTTTAGATATTTCTTCGTATGTTCCCTTGATTAAATGTCAGTATTTATAGTAACTAGACATTTAATAAACTGGCTATAGCAATTTTGTTAAGAGCCAATTATGTTCTTAAACATACTCATATTGTTGAAGATATTAGTAAATGTGGGTTTACATATTTATAATTTCTACATGTACAATAGCAACTTAGCTTGCTGCTTTGATAAACAGTAATATTTTAAAGTAAACTTTTAAATTTACTTAAACTAAAATTTAAGGTCTCAAATACTAGTTTAAATGCTTAGATAATGTGTTGTAAAAAATTTTCATTTCTAGTTTTGAATATTTTATTTTAAAAAAACATTAATGTTTGCATTTCTTGAAGGTACTAATTGGTGAGGCAACATCTCTTTGTCATATCGTATAATCACAGTATCTCATAATCAAATAATGAAAACAAAAATCCCTACGTGTCACAGAGGTACTTAAATGGTTAAAGATTAGATACTGAGATACTTTGAAGACCTAGCGTTCTGTATTTAAATATTTTTCTAGATGAAACGTGAACCTAAAGTCATGTGTTTTCTAGAAAAGCAGTCATTTGAAGGTAGAAACTGTTTGTGTTCCGACAAAACTGCATTTCTAGTCCGGGTTAGAGTTAGTAAACACATTTTATTGCAGTAACTTTTACCTGTACTCCTACTGCAAATAGCTATTTTGTGCTTAGCTCTACATATACAAGTAATTGCATTGATTTCCCCAGGAACGCTTGTGCAAGTATTGCTCATTTTCGTTAGAAAAACTCAGAAGGTACAACTTCTGCTACTATTGATCGCTCACATAGGCTAGGATTTCATTTTTCTCTATCTGAAGTCAGTGACAAAATTCCACATCACGTTCACTGACATCAGAATTCAAGGGCTGCCTTCCATATTAGGTGGCAAAAGCAAAGTCTGTAAGCTGAATAAATACAAAAGTTGGATGAAGAAATGAAAAGCACAGAACAGCTTTTCCTCAAGTACCGAGTCAATAGTTAAACTAGTGAATGAATACAGCTGCTTTGGTAACGGCTTTTTCTTTTACTTTGGTACACGATATTGTTGTCTTTTTGTTTTTGGATTTTCCAATCCAGGCTCTTCTACGAACCTGTCACTACACCTTGTGGGCACACGTTCTGTCTGAAATGCCTTGAGAGATGCCTGGATCACAACCCAAAATGTCCCCTGTGCAAAGAAGGTCTCTCAGAGGTAATGATGCATGGATTTAGTCCACATAAATTAGAGGGCAAAGAATAGGATCAAGTAGCACCTTCAGAAACCTCTGGTATTTTCAAATTCAAAAGAAATATTACATAACTTAAGAAAAATGTGACTTTTGGGATGTCCTGGTGACTAACAAAGCGTGGATAATCTTCTCTGTTTGAACTTTAGGACCATTTTTATATGTGGAAAATCTGGAAAGGGAAGACAAATCACCTAGGGACTGGCTAAGACAATGCCTGTAACTTAGTGAATAGTTCAGTAAAAAGCTCTTCAATGGTAGTGCAAGCTTAGAGGATTGTTTTTAATGTGCAATAGACATAAATGGAGCTAACATGGTTACCCGGTGCATAGGAACAGTACGCTTGGAAATGCTAGACGTTATTAGATGACTGCTTAATTGTCCTTTTTTGCTGCAGTGCTTGGCTATGAGGAAATACTGTAAAACGGTACTAATGGAAGAGTTGATAGCTAAATATCTTCCAGAGGAACTCACTGAAAGAAGAAAGATTTATGAAGAGGAAATAGCAGAGCTTTCGAAGTATGTAATCGATTTATTTAAAACCAGTCTAATAGGAGAGCTGTTGGCTAACGAATGGCTCCTGCTGCTGCGGAACATGAACGAAGCTGCTGACAAAGGAGCTTCTTGGTCTGTGTCGTGTGATTCAAAGGCGACAGGGGCCAGGTGAAATTATGCTTCGAGTAGTATAACTAGACACTGTGCTAAACAATAAACAGAAGCAGAAGGAATTGAGGAGAGCTGCACAAGGTATAACGCAATGTTGTTGCTTTCTGTGGCCATTTATGAAAGCCTCAGAGCAAGACAATGGGTGGAAGCGGAGCCCCACAGGCTGGGAGCTGGAAATTACTGTGTAGGAAAGAAAAGGGATTAAGGAAAGTAAAATGAAGTAAAAACAGTAATAGAAATGCATCAACACTCTTACTAGCAAAACCAGAAAGCATAACTAAAAATTATTCTACTAATAACTGGAATATCAATTTCCATTATATTTAGGCAGCTATCAGTTTAAGGGGGAAAATAATTTTAGTTTTTACTTAGAATAAAATCTTAATTTAGTTTAAAAATGTTGTCTCTTCAGTTTAAAGATACTGTAATTTCAAAGAATACCTTACTGCGTAAAATGTATGTATTTTATCTCTCCAGTATTTTGATAAAATATCATCTCTGGTTTGTCCTTTCTTTCCTACAGCCTAAATAAGAATGTTCCTATATTTGTCTGCACAATGGCTTATCCTACAGTCCCATGCCCTTTGCACATCTTTGAGCCATGTTATCGACTGATGATTCGACGGTGCATGGAGACTGGCACCAAACAGTTTGGGATGTGCATCAGCGATCCTGTCAAGGGGTGAGCAAGCAGCACATTTGGAACATGCGATCTACCCCGTTTAGTCCAAGGCAACTCCCTTTAGAGGAAGGTGCAGAAAGGTCCTTGGCTCTAGACATTTATGTTACAGTCTTCCAATAGAGAAAGTTTCTTTCTAGTGATGACAGTTAATGACATTGAGAAGATCACAGTTTGTCTCTTGAGCACTTGGATCCTGTCTAATGTGACTGCCCAATTTTTGGAACCTACAGCTAGTATGTATGACATGAAGTTGAGTTGCAGACTACTTATAATAACGAAAAGGAAGTGTATTTTCTATTACTCTCAGTCTCTTTAATGCCTTGGCACAAGCAGTCAAATTGAAATGTCAGTAAGGCATAGGATGTTTTTGTTTATTTTTTTAATTATGAAAAGAATAACCAAGCTATTGGGATAGATTTATATCGTCATGGTGTTCTGAGTATAGCAGAGGCTGCAAAGGTGTAACAAGATCTTCCTAAGGACAAACTGAGCGTTTACATTGAGCCATTCATTTACAGTCTTATGTACTTTGACCTTAACATGTCCATCTCTGAATTGAGCAGGGTTTTTGGAGTTTGTTTGTTTGGGGGGGGAGGGGGCTTTAATGGTATACACCATAAGAAGTATGGTGTAACTTTGTATACAAAAATAAAACAAAGTAATTAAAAAAAAAAAAGCCGAAATTCTTGGGAAAGTATACTTTATAGATTTCATTTAGTTCTAATACTCTGAACTGCACTGGTTCCTTTGTACAAAATGACTGAATGTTTCTACATATACTTTCACCATATGTTTTTATATACTTCTCAGCCATGTAAAACTTTTGTTTCTTCAGAAATTTCCTTTATTCCAAAACATGTAGTTAGTGTTAATCAGATCAGACAGCCTGAATCTTCTTGATAGTTTTGAAAACAATTGTTAATAATCTGAACTCTAGAGCAGGTTGGTACTATGAGCAATATAAATAGAAATGGGCTGACTCTGGTAAATACCTTTGTGGTACGGACTGGCTGTGTGGCAGTTCTGTGCAACTAAAGGTTGACAGAATAAGACTTGTTTACTTGTTTTTGTTCTGTTTTAAATAGGTTTGCAGATTATGGCTGCATTCTGGAGATAAGAAATGTTGAATTCTTTGCTGATGGTCGCTCTGTTGTGGATAGCATTGGCAAGAGGAGATTTAAGGTGATACAGCACAGCCAGCGTGATGGCTATAATACAGCAGATATTGAGTACATTGAGGATCAAAAGGTGAGTTTAGAAACTTTTCATATAAAGTGTATTAAATCTGAAATTCTAAATACATCTTATCTTTTCAGTGAGTTCCTTTTTTTTGTAGTTGCTTCTAGTAAAACAAACTGTGGTATTTACTAACTGTTTGTGGTTAAAGAGGGGAAAATAGTAGTTACCACATGCACACGTAGACAGCGTTTTCTGAAGAATGTTTCCTAGAGGGTTTTAACAGAAGACAAAAAGTGAATCCAGGATGAGATCTTAACCAGTCTTCTAGATAGAATAATTTTTTGCAGTTTATAAGAAAAAAAGCTTCTGTTCTCATGGAAGCCAAATGGAAAGCTCCCATTTAGGTAAGTGGGAGCAGAATTGGGCCCAGAACAGCTTTTTATGATTTATATTTTTTTTTTTTTTGAATAGGTAAGTAATCAAAGTATTCTGGCTGATGTATGATCTTTTGCTATACATTGGGAAGATAAAATGTGTATTCTAAGGAGTGGGTAGATAAATTTTAAAAAACTTTGCACAAACTGTTCTGTTCTAGGTAAATGGGATATTCACATAAAGGTGACTTCATTTAGCAATCTGGAAAATCTTTATTCTGCCACTCTTTATTCTGCAAAATTGTCTTTGGTTTAGAATACAAAACAAGAAGGTGAAGGAGTTGATAGATGAGTTTGTTTTAGGGGAGGAGAAAAAATTACTAAAAAAAGATTAGTTTTCAGGATTTATCATGGAACTCCTTCAACATCTCTCTCTCTTTCTTCCTTTCCTACCCAAAAAAAAAAAAAAAGTGGTGCCTTCTCTAACATGGAGACTGAACTAATAGTAACCTTCCTCTCTTTACTCATTTCAGGTGCAAGGGCAAGACTATGCTGCATTACTTGTTCTCCACGATTCTGTCTATGATCAGGCATACATGTGGTTTAACTCACTCAAACAAGCGCTCAAAAGTCGAATTCTCAGTCATTTTGGTCCAATGCCAGCTAAAGATCCTGACCCACAGGTATCCAAAATCAATGGTTTATGTAACTTCTTTTTTAGAGACAGAAATCACAAGGATAAGCAGTAAGCTGGGAAGCGTGCTCTTTTTATGATGAAAACAGGAATCCTCTTCACTTATCCTGCATAAGCCAAGTATCTGCATTATGTTGCCAGGCTCCAGTGGTAGTGGTGTTATGAAAAGAAGTTCATATTTAATATTGATAACTTCCTGAGAATACCTAAATTATTAATCCCAGGAGATTTATAAGCTTTCTTGCCTACTCTATTTCCCCAGCTGAAAGAATAAGAGAAAACAGAGGCCAGGAATCATGATAGTCTTGTTCAAGGATTGCAAATGGCAGGAATCTTAAACTAACAGAATATAATGACAGAAGTTAAATATGAAGAAATAATGTATAAATTATGAAGAAGGGAGGCAAGTATCCCAAATATTTGGGTCAATAGTAACATAAGAGCAAAAAAAAAAAAAATCCAGAATACCTGACCTACATACTGTTGCTAGAAATAGAAATATATCTCCCTTTCCCCACCTTTAACATCCTACTTTTAGGAAAGGTGCAACTTGGCTGTAATTTTTGTTTCAGGCCAACCTGTAATCACGACCCATTAGGTTGGCAGTTAGATAGCAAGGTAGCAAGCAGGTTATCAAAATACTATATCTTTAAAAGTTCTTCAAAAACAAGACCTTACTATCTAAAGTTAACCTAACTTCTGATTTTCTCCTTTGCTGCAGGCTAACCCTAATGGGCCAGCCTGGTGCTGGTGGGTCCTAGCTGTCCTTCCACTTGAGAACAGAGCTCAGCTCCCTTTCCTTGCCATGAAATCCCTCAAAGACCGCTTGAATGGCATCAGACGTGTCCTTACATTCATGTCTCGTACAAGATCACGGTGATGGTGAGGAGGAGAGCTGTGATGTCTTCCACAGTACTTGACTGTAGAGTGTCTCTTGTAACTTCATCTAACTGCAATAATGTCTTACAGATCTGAGTGTCAGGATGTTTCAAGCCTGAATTTCAAAGAAAATAAGTTATAAAGAGCAAAGGATATTTATGGATGCTTCAATAGTTTCCTTTTGGAACTCTTTCCGAGATGTTTATTCAATCACTGCACTGCTAAATTAATAACAAATGTGATAGAACAAAAAAGTGATCTTGTTTGCCATAAACCTTTTAAAAAGCTTAAGAGGTTTTTTAATTTATTTTTATTTTATTTTTTGTAGTGGATAAAGGAAATTGTGCAGTTTAATGTGAAGCAGAAATAATAATGTTAATGCATTATTTCAGTGAACTGCGAAGTCTTTTATTCCAAATGGTTCAGGTTTTATATATAGCATTGTGTAAAATAATGTTCACAACTTCCATTTGATAATTTATTTTTGCACTATGATTATTTTGTTTGTTTCCAAATGTATATTATTTATGTGTACATTCTCTAAAGGAAAGTGAGTCGCTCTATTTATTTATAGTGTTATTACCCTGCATTTATGACTGGGGAGGAAACAACGATATTAGCAGTGCACAGCAGCTGCTTTAGTCATTTTTTCAGTATATTTGTGTTCAAATATCTTGAATGTTTTTCTACTTATCCCCAGTTTTATAGCAGCCTAAGAAGGATTTTTTTTCCCCCTGAAACAGCCTGCCATGAAGTCTTCAAAACACACACATTATCTGAGATAATTGAAGCATAGTTGTTAGAATTTGATCCGACACTTGCAGCTTGGTCCCTGCTATCACAAAACAGTCAAGCATGTGCTTAACCTTAAGCGTGAGCTTTTTAAGGGCTTTGCTAAATTCAAGTATTGACTTCAGTGGGAACTGGCCAGAGGGGTGACTGAAGGATCCATTCCTTAATATTCCACAGAACAGAGAATAACTTGGAATTAAATTGATACTTGAACTCTTTCTCGCAAAAAGGAATAATGGCTACAACAACTGCTAACAAAGAACCACAATATACAAAAAGTGGTTCCTCATAAAAGAAAACTGGAAGTTTTGGTGTAATTTCATTGTAGGTTATTACATAGATTCTTTATATCAAGCCTTGTCGTTGTTAAGATCTTGCTTTATTTCTTTTTTTAATTGTTTGGTGGGATTTGATTTTAGGGGAAGGGGCGGGGGGTTGCTTTGAACCGTAGGACTCGAAGAAGGCAGTTTGTGCCACATGAGAAGGAATGTGAAACATGCTATTTATTTCACCCCGATCTTCAGGTTTCTGTTAGCTTCAAATCTCTACCCAGCCACTGCATTTTCCTTAGCAGAGGGCGGGTAGTGTTGCTAATAACAGCTAATGCCCAAGGAGAACGAGTGGATTTTAGGGTGATCGTTTCTAGCTCTAATGCAGATAGAAACAGGGCAGAACGGAGAATAGCAGTAACTTGGTTTTGGTTTTAAAGCAATAGTTCACTTTTTCACTGCTTTTATTGCTTTCTGTCTGCCACTTTCTGGGATTGATCTTGCCTCCACTGGGATGAATTTAGCTTTCACTGATTTCAATGCAAGCAGTACTGGGCCTTTTATTCTACACTACTGTTTTCCTTTTCAGTGGAAAAACAAATGAGTTGAACTGAAAATACTGTGGTATGCTACAAGTTTCTGTGTTATTTTTATCCAGGATAGCACTGTTTGCCATTCCATGCCTTTTGTGGAAAAATGCAGTAGAATTTAATGCATTTTTCCATATGGTTTCTGTACCATTATTATATCATCAGAAATATTTACTATATAAGAGTAACGTCTGCACCCTTAAGTTTCCATAAAACTATGTTTCCCCTCTTGTTAAATTCTATAGGACTTTTCCATAAGGCTACAAAGAAACTAATGGAAAACTGAAACATGTTTCAACTTTATGAAGGAATATGTATCCTGTATTTGCATTTAGCTACTCTAGAAATGCTACAACTCCTTTCCATACTGCTAGATTGCTTCACTTTTTTCTGTAGATGGTACTTTACATGCTACTCTGTGAATAATGTATAGAAATACGTACACATTCTGAACAATAACAAGTGTGGTGGCTGAGGCCTGCTATGGCATTTGTCTTCGCAAGTCAATAATTAAGTGATTTTTATTTGTTTGGAAGTGAAGCTGCATTAAATACAATTCTTCCTTAAACCATTATGTATTAATGCATAACATAAGGGGCCCATATTGCTCCCATAGAAATAAGCTGGCATTTTTCCTCATATTGGTGAGAAAAGGATCTTAAATATCTCTCATTTTTAGACTTCCTCACTGATCTTGTTCTTTTTCCTGCATGCTACATCTTCTACGTGCTTATATTCTGCCTATTTCGTTGATTTAGAAATTGCCATGGGAAGAATCCTTGATTTTTTTTTTTTTAAGTGACTATTGTCCTTTTTTATTAGCCAGAGGTAAAGCTGCCAGAATTTCCTAAGCAGAAATTTGTGTGCGTGCAACTGTAGTCATGCACACCCAGTGCATCTGTTGCAACCTGAAAACACTGGACCTGTTGCACATAACGCATACGGTTGATTTGCATGTACACAATAAATCCAACAGAGAAAGCTGATCTGCACATGTACAGCAGCATTCTGTCTGGGACTGCTCTCTGGCCACGCATCCTAGATCAATGTATAAAGTGTGCAAAATCTATCCATGGGGGAAAAAAAAATGAGGGGAAAAAAAAATTCCTGGGACATACAAACCTGTTCAGGAAAAACTGGATGAAGAGTAGCCTTAGCCTTTGGTGAGTTAAGATGATAACGATTCAGTAATGAGCTTTAAAAACAAAGATATTTCAATTATGCCACAGCATTGTTGAGCTTTTCAATTGTATTAATTGGTGCAATTATGTGAATGGAACACTTATTAGAAGCATGAATAAACAGCTGGATAGATTTTAAAAATACCTTCACTTTAACTATAGATACAGCATTGATCAGATAAGATGCTAATTGGAGGGTATTTTATTTGTGCTTCTCACGGTATTGTAGACACCTATTTGTTCCATACAGAGTCTTGCTGATCTTACTGAAAAAAATCATGACTCAATCTTGCATTTCCTTTATGGCTGGAAGTATTGATTAGTCTGTTGTTTAGGGCATAAGCAATACATAGGCTTTTTGCTAGCCCTCCATCAAGGTTAATTTTCAATTGATGCTAGATCCCCCTGAGTTAGGATTACTAAAATCAATGGAAATTTTTTGATTCCATGGAAATGTGATCAGTCCCTCCTAAAAGAAGGAAAATAGAAAAAGCCACTCCCCTGTGAGGTGGGGGGAAAAGGCTCAAACTATAATTAAATAATCACCAGTCTCCAAGAGAATATCATGTGCTAAGCCACCTAAACCTCTCCTGGAGGCTTCTTGAAAGCTTTAGACTTCCATTTGTGAGACAGTTTTGTTCATTTGTGAAATCTCTTCACTCTTCCGCAAGTGAAGTATTTAATGCAAATACATTAAATAACAAAGGCTGGCTGTGTCACCCTTCCAAATATCTGTATGTATGTACATGGTTTCTAATTAAAAACAGTCTCTCAGATAAGTATTATGTCGTCTTCCAGAAAACTTATTTATCATTCTCATGTATAGAGCAATTTCTGACAGTCATGGCAACTTTCCTTTGTTTTATATGCTACTTTGGCTAGCAATAACTTAAAGGAAAATATTTCCATGAAAAATTGGCTGGCATAACTTGGTTGAAAGAAAACCTGAGGTAGGAGTAGATTAATTATGAAAAAACATCAAACCCAAGAGTGACCTCAGACACAGTTGTAGAAAGTTGTTTAGTAGTGTTAATGAAATGATAGAACGGTCTGGATCTAATTGACATTCTGCTGTTAGTTGTAACTAAATTCCTCTTATTACTTTATTTTTAATTTCAAGTGCTTCTATCTTCTCTTCCTTTAGCATGTAGCAATAAGAAATACCATCTGTCATACTGAATGGCTGATCTATTGCTGGGCCTGTGCTTCCGTCCTGTATGACTGACTGCTCACTAACAGAACACCTGAACCATTGACGACTTAATTCAAAGATTATTTTAATCTCTGGGGGGAAAAAAAAGTTTGGATTTAGCATTTAAATTTATGCTGCATAGTAAACTGTATAGGGAGAGAGCTTTATGGAAAATCAAGTTTTGTGGTTTAGATGGTGATTTAATGATTTCTGCTTGGTGCTGGAATTTTACTAGTGTTCAACATAATGACAGGAGTTAGAGTTCAATGCAATGTTTAGAAATGGAGAACATATTCACAAACTCTTACTTAAATGGTAGTTACTCTACTTTTTTTTTTTTTTTTAATATGGAAAATCTAATGGAACTGTATGCACTTAGAGTAGCGTGCCCCAAACTGCTTCAGTCTGCACGTCCTACATCAGGTAAGCTCAAGCCCCCCCTTAGTTTTCACTTAATTTATCAGCTTTACAACCTAACTTGTAACTGTGCAGCATATAGTTTACCATCTGGTGATCTGGAGTCTCTTCCAAAGCCCAGTAAAGCACTGGAAGACTTACAGCTACAAAAAGAAGGTAAAGTTTCAGCACAGTCACTATTCTGAAACACACTGCTAAAACATACTGTCTGGGACCAAGAAACTAATCTGCTTAGTCAAGATTAAAATGGTGGATAATAAATAAAAACTGAACTATTACACTGACTTACTCATCCAGGTATCAAGTGAAGTGCTTACTAATGTCAGAGTTTCATAAGGTCTAAATTAACCCTCACATAGAAGTGCCTGTATTCTGTTATTGGCTGCCATTCTTGAGCTTTTTCAGAAAGTCATAGCCATATATTTTATAGATATACACACACACACGCACCTTTAAATCTTTACATTAAACTCGCAGAACAAAGGTTTACAGAGCAGAAGTGTAGCAAAAACAATGTAATAGCTTCTATAACGTAATGGCAATGGAGGGGAAACGTACAAAAATCAGGAGGAAAAGACTATCTGTGTAAAGATGTCTTAATACGACACCGTATAGTTATCCCATTTAATTCCATCAAGCTATGTGGTTACAAGAGTGCCAGAAATATATCAAGCCATTTTAAATAAAAACAGTTCTTTGTGGGCTTGTGTATTCCATTTGTTTGTAAAACATCATTTTTGTGCACTGTACTGAACTTGAAATGAAACTTAAGTTATACTCTTATATCACTGAACAGAGTACTGTTCAGCTACCTCTGCATAAGATTGAAGTACTTTATTTTTTCCAAATTTGTTTGCATTGTCATATACAAATATTTTTTAAAAAAATCATAGTCCAAAGAACCTGTATGTGTTTGTAGATGTACTTATAATTATGTTGTACTGACAGTCTGTGTGGAGAGTTGTGTTTGCTAATTAAAATTTTTGTGTTCTTTATTCTTTGGCTCTTGTAACAAAGAATTACAAAGATGGAAACACTGAATAAACATGGCAATTACAATTTCAATATTCAAAAAGGACAAGAAAGCATTTGAAAGTTATTTTTGCTCAAGATAACATTTCTCATGCATCCTTAAACAGTTTCATTTGTCTATCTTCAGGAATGCTCTTCCTGATGCGCTCTCAAACTCTGACTACTGCAGTTAAAGATAGATAGAAATTTACCTTTAACAAGGGCTGTTGTTACACCAACTACTTATTTCTGCAAGTTTTCATAATGCAGCAGTTGGTTTTCATATACTAATGGGCTCAATCATAAACTATGCAAACCACTCGCTTAAAACCTCGCTTTAGTAGGCAGTTTGGTTTGTTATATTAACTGAGGGAGATCTTATTTGTCTATTCTGTTTTACTGTAATTTCCTAAACCTTCCGTCAAGAACATCTTTACAAATGTGTGTTTTATCAGTTAAAAATCAGTTGCTATTCTTGTCAAAGAACTCATATTGGATTAAAAATGAGCTGCTGCTTTAGGTATTTTAGATAAACACAGGAGCCAAGAGCAGATCCTAGATTGAACAATCACACCACAAAACTTGAGGTGAGGGAACAAACCCGTAGAAAGCAAATTGCCTAAACCTCACAGTTTGTAAAGGAGCCTGAGTGTTTTTTTTTTTCCCCTCATTGTCATACTAAAGGAAGACTAAAGGGAAGTGAAGAGGTCCTGGCTTACAGCACTATAAGCGCTCCTCTAGACTTTGGTACCTCTTGTACATTACTGCTTGCTTTACAGTGAGTTACTTCAGTTTCTGCGTTTTAAAACAATAACCAGGATAAATTTTAATGCAAAGTTGCAGGCAAGAATGAGTCATAGCAGCTTCTAAGCTTCATTTGTGAACAGATGAAAGGACTGTTTTTAGTGAGGACACCACATCTCCTCTTAAAAAAAAATCCTACGGAACCTTCTGCTGAACTCCTGACCTTTATATACAAGGCAGAAAACACCACTTTCATTCATACGCTTAAAATTATGAGAGGAATGACTACTAAAAGACCTGGAAGAGTTGCCAAAAATTTTAAAAGTTAAATATATATGGGCTGCTCTTTATCTCGTCGTTTAGGTGTATAAAATGTAAGATGCAAGGCAGGTGCTGCTGCATGGCATGCTTGTGATTTGGTGCTGACCCAGCCACGCAGAGTACTGGAGTTTAGCTTGCTGGTCTCTTACATAAATTTGTTCAGGCCCTGTTATTTATTTAATCATCAGGGCACAGGCTAAGACTGTATTTGCTAGGCCAACAACTAATTACGTCAAGACTACTATTTTCTATAATAAAATCAATTTGATTTGGAATAGAGGACATGTTTTGAGTGAAGTGCTTTCCATCAGAAAATAGTAAATAGTCAAAACTGAAGCTTTATTTGGGAACATGTTGATTTAAATTATTTCTTTTAATTCCGGATTTTAATTTTGAAACCATTAAGTAGGAATTTTTTTAAGTTTTTTTAGTCCCAGTGTAAAGCAGAAAAAACTTTTTAAAAATTACTAGGTGGCAAATTATTTCCAAACTACTTGTTCACTGTGATCTCTTTTTACAACCAAGTAGCTACATAGATTTTTTTTTTTTTCCAAGTGATATTTGAGGTATTCTAGGCATCTACATTTAGATAATGCTTCATATTAAAATGATCATCAAAAACTACTAATGATCTCGCATAGCATCATGCAAAGCAGTTTAAGGGGAACTACTTCTGCCACTCGGCCTTTGCTGTCCAGTATAGTTCCTGACACAAAAACCTGCTCTGACTTTGCTGGGCCTTGGCTCAGGACCTGGGGCATACCTCTCAGCAAACTGAAGGGCATGCCACATGATAGCTTCTGGCTGTTACCTGCCACAGCTTTGAAAACTTTGGCAATCAGCTGTTTTAGTCTGTGAATGAGATACCACGAAATCCTAGAACGTTAATAAATGTGCTGTGGCTCTTTGTATGGTTGAGTTAAAGAAATGGCAACATCTTCAAAAGATAAGCCGCCAGGTTGATGACAGCAGGTCTTAATTTAACAGTTATTTCCATCTCTGCTATGTCAGTCACGGATTGCCTCTGCTTCACTCCCTACTAATCACAACCACTAACAGTATAAGGTATGCTGTCCGTCACCCTCTTGTCCCCATGCGCAGATGAGGAAAGAACAGACACTTCACTACTAAACTACTGTAAGGCTGTGGCTTTTCGGGGAGGAGGGAGGGTGTTTTTAAAGTATTTCTAATTTTGAAATTGAACAAGTTTTTATCAGTAGTGACCCATACCAAGTTCTCCAGAAACTATGCAACAGAAGAACTAATTGTGTAATATCATCAGGCCTTCTTATTATTTTGCATTTTTTAAGTAAAACATAGTTGTATATCGATACCAAACATTAAAATACAGAGACTACCTGAAAACTGTGGCACTGACATGAAGAACAAGAATTGTTATGAAGATAGCTCTGAGCTGCCACATACTGAATAGCTTACGTCTTACAATAGGATGGCTCTCATGTTTAAACAGAACAGAAAATATACTGGCTGAAAGAACCTATATAATGAGTGCGCTGTCAATACCAGTTTTACGCCAGTGTAACATCTTCTGTTTAAGTAGAGCTGCCCTCGATTTACAATGGCATAAGTGAAAGGAAAATTAAGCTATTAGTAAGTGACTTTATTTATATAAGTGACTTACTTACTTATGCTGTATTATGTGATTGAAAAGAAAACTGAGCACATGGCTTTTTGTGTTTCTATGAGCTACAGAAAGATTTTTTGTATAAGTAATACTAGTAATAAATAGTTTTCTGTATGTGACTTATATTAGAATTTCAGCCTCATCCACACAGGTTTTGTCATGAGTAGAAAACATGGTAATAGATGGCATGATAATGTAAAGGATTTTAGCAATTCTGCAGACAGTCTAGAAAATGTGAATTCTGAGCATCACAAGTTAGACTGTAGGTTAGTTCAACACAGCAATTGTTATTCAGGCTCTTCCTTGGATGACTCAGTGACTTGTACTGTGACTACTAGTACTGAATGTACCATCTGAAATTCATTTTGAAAGATTACTGAAGCATTAATGATTTAAAAGCAGTTGCCACACGTACTTTTATCAATGACAAGCCCAAGCTCTAGCAAGGCTGAAGAACATACACAAGGATCTCCAACATAACTGAATTTGTTTTCGTTCAAGTTTTGTAAATTGTTTTTCACTCCTTAGTGAATGATAACTATATAATATCTAGGAAATCAGGGTCAGTAGAGTAAATGTTTCTGTAGCAATTTGGCAGACACACCTTTCATAAGGCCTTACTGGAAAGGCACAACTGGGTCACAGAAGTGCATGGTGGGATGCTGCTTTCCAGTTATGCAATGAGGGTAACTAAAGGTTAGAGAGGGAGCACTTGAATAACGAGCTTTTTGCCAGAAAGAGCAGAACAGAAAAACACAGTGTTTTTAAATGCTGGCTTTTGAACAGCAGCCGCCTAACATGTCTCGTTAGGAATCATCAAACCAAAATAGAACCAGATGCGTCAGAACTTTGACAAATGGCAAGGCAACATCCCGAAAGAAAGAAAAAAAAAATGCACAGGCTTGTATTCCAGAAGTAAATCCTACCGATTATCTTATTCTGATAGAAGATGCTAGGGCCACTTGACCTGTGCTGCTCAGCTTATTCTTCTGGCCCACTGTAACTGACTTGATCACTCATCTCTTTCCCCTTCATCGAGCAACAGCTTCAACTTAAGGAATTCCACACTTTAGCTCTATTTTACTTGCCCCGTTTTTAATCATCCTAACCTAAACTTCTCTGTTCCCCTGATAACTTATAGCCCATTTGTCTGCTTCTCCCACAAACACTTTCGTTCCTGCTATTTATGTTTTTCTGGCCTACTTCTAATAAATACAATTATTAAGGAAATCTTACCAGACTTACAGAGGAAAGCAAAGAGAAAGGAAGTCGTGCTTCTGCACTGTAAAGGTTTTCCAAGGTTTGGCGAGCTAGGACATAGGCCAAGGGCACAGATTATCACGTTAACTAACAACCCCCATCAACTTTAGGGATATTAGTGACAAAAACCGAACCCTATACTGTAAAGAGGCAAAATAAAACAGTGCTCTTTTAATCACAATTGCATCTTCTGCTACAGCTGCACACCAGATTAATCTATTAATCAAAATGACCTCATTTTAGGCATGAGTAGCGGTGTGTTATATAACCATGTTAAGTATGCTATTTTATTTCCCTCCTGCCAAGGAGAAATGGTGTTTGTCTTACAAGAGTTCCAAATAAGTCTGGTTATAAAGCGATGGGGAAAAGAACAGGAGGGAGAAATGAAAGCAAGAGAATTAACGAGCAAAATGACTCATTCCCCAAGTGCAGAGGTGATGTTAGACTCCACTGTTTAATATTAGTAGCGCTACAGGAAACTAATGTTGTCACCAGCAGACTGAATGTTCCTAATGTGCCCAGCATTTCTCAGGATAGGAAATATAGAAGTGTTACAAGAATGGAAAATACTTCTTTTCAGACTTCTCAATCAGATGACACGGGTTTACGGCATTCGTGTTTTGTTTTCAAAGCTATTTGTGAAGGCTGCCTCCATAAACAAGGCGCGTGCAGAATCCCCTGCCCGTCTCTTTGTTGCTCACTTCTTTGGTGAAAAGTGGCATCAAATGATTTATTTTCCTGCTGCTACTAGTCATGCATTAAACAAGCTAAAAAACACCCTTAAAAGTAGAATATTCCCCCCGCGC